TGTTTGTTGTATATCTCCTTCCCCATAACCCAACATGTACGTATCATCTATAAAGTAACTTACTCTCTTTTACTTTCCCATCTTGTCGATGATTCTCAGGACAACAAATCTATACAAGAACAGAATGCATCATCTTTCTCCATCAGAGATTTGTATGGGCTCAAACTGCTTCCCTGACAATTAGCAGGCTGAAACATACCCCACTATGCTACCAAAACTTCTTTGGTAACCATACAAGGGTGATATTTTTCCTTTGTGAAAACACTTCCTTAGCTTGTAGTGGGCTCACACAGTATGTGTCCTGTCTGTGATTGACTACGTTCACTCAGTAAAATGCCATAAGAGAGACAGACCTTTTCTAGCTACCACAAACTTTTTGCATACACAAGTTATTTCAGTTGTGAACTGAGTTTTTAAAAATCTATTAGAATTAGATGAGGGATTTAATTTCAGATATCTTTAGATAATTTTTGTATTCAACAATTTAAAACAGTTTATCAATCCTCTTAGAGCTTGCCGCCACCACCCCATTTTCATTTTTCTTTTGCCTCTTCTGTGAAGGATATCATCTTCCCCTTCATCCAAATTAACACCTGGCTCCTTCCTAGCCTATTTGCTTCCCCTTCATTTCTTTTCCTTCCCACCCCATATTGAAAATCAAAGTTTTTTCTTTGCATATGCGAATATTTATCTTGATATTTTTTCTTTGTTCAACCTCATACAATATTTGTCCTTTTGTGATTGACTAACTTCACTCATAAATGTCCTCCAAATGAATCCATGCCATGGCGTGTCACAACGTTCTGGCATTATTCTTTAATAATGTATTATATTCTGTTTGGATTTTTTTTTGCATGCTGCTGCTGTGGTTAGGTCTCATCAAATAGGTTCTGACCCATAGCGACCTAATGCACAACAGAATGAAACAATAACCTGTCTTGCACCATCCTCACAATTGTTCTTATGACCGAGCCCACTGGCAGATACATTGACACAGTAACCACTATGGATACTGTGTCAGTGCATCTCCTTCGGAGCCTTCTTCCTTTTCACTACCCCTCCATTCACCAAGCACCACGTCCTTTTCCAGGGACTGGTGTCTCTTGACAACATGTCCAAAGTATGGACAGCAAAGTCTTGCCATCCTTGTCTCTAAGGACCCCCCTGTGCATACTTCTTCCAAGTCATGTCCAGTGGTCCTCTTAGCAGTCCATGGTATAATCATTCCTCGCCAGTACTAAAATTCAAATGCTTCAATTCTTCTTTGATCTTCCTTATTCAATGTCCAGCTTCCATGTTCACATGAAGTAATGGAAAATATCATGGCTTGAATCAGGCACACCTCAGCCATTAAAGTAACATTCTTAATTTTTGATACTTTAAAGAAGTCTTGTGTAGGAGAATGTTGCATGTAGTTCATCTTTTTTATCTCTTGATTGCTGTTTCCATGAACCTTGATTGTGGATCCAAGCTAGACAAAATCCTTGACTACTTCCAACTTTTCTTCCTTTATCATCATGTTACCTATTGGTTCTGTTGTGAGGATTCGGGTCTTCTTTACATTGAGTTGTAATCTATACTGAAGGCTACAATCCTTGGTCTTCATCAGCAAGTGCTTCAAATTGTCCTCAGGAAGCAAAGTTGTTTCATCTGCATATCGCAGGTTGTTAATAAGCCTTCCTCCCATTCTGATGCTGAATTCTTCTTCATATAATTCAGCTTCTCTGATTACTTTCTGAGCACACGTTGAATAAATATGGTGAGAGGAGGCAGCCCTGTTGTACACCTTTCGTGCTTTTAAAACAAGTGCTATTCCCTTGATCCATATACAAGTTCTGCATGATCACAATGATGTCTTTGGGAATTTCCATTTTCCTCCAAGATTATTTATCCACTCATAAAGCATTCAGGTTGTTTCTAACTTGTGACTAGTGCTGCAATAGATATGAGTGTGCTGGTTTTGTCACTTTTTTGTTTGTTTGCTTGTTTTGTTTTGTTTCCAAGTAATGCTAGTGTTTCTGGGTCATTTGGAATTTACTGTCCCAATTGAAGTTTCATACCATTGTCCACAGTCGTTTTACTGTCTGGAAGTCCCATCAGTATTGTATGAGGGATTCAATCCCCGCAGTATTTGTTGTTTTCTGTTTCTTTCAACCTTGTTAACAATGCTGGCATAATGTGCTATCTCATCATTGTCTGATTTGTTTCTCTTAAATGGCTAGTGATCCTGCACATTTGATTGTTGGTTGGTTGTCTGAATGTCCTCTTTGGTGAAAGTCTATAGATGTCCTTTGTCTATTTTTAAATTGTGTTGTCGTTTTCTTGTTGAGATGTTGAAATTTCCCATGAGTTTAGAGATTATTTTCAGAACTTTACTGTGAGTCCATTAATCCCATTGCATTATACCTGCCACCAGAACCAGCCCTTTTAACATCATCCATCGAAATTAAGTTAGGTTTGGTTGATAAGTCTTTGTCTGAGATATGTCTAGGGGAGTGCCTGAGGAATTATCTGGTGCATCACCTGATGTAGATGCCTTAAAATCATAGCTGAGTATTCTCTGGGAGCACCTCCATCATTAATTTTTACTTATTAACCTATAACTACACCCAGAGACCTCAAAAGTTGAAATACACAGGAGGACTCAGGAAGAGGTTCACTACATCTCACAATAACTGCCTGATTTTAATACCAAGTAAAAACACAAACCGAGGGAATGTGTGGAAATGCCCATTAAGGATATGGGATAGTGTTCTGAGGATCATAAAGTTGAATCAGGCTTATTTCATTAATGTGGGCCCAATAAACACATACTCTTAATTTAATGTTTCCATGTCAGAGGTAAGAAAAGGTCTTATAATTTATTTGGTTGGGTCATTGGAGCATGGATGATTGATTTGGGTAAAAAAGAAATATAAGTAACCTTAGACATATTGGTATGATATTTTCATCATAAACCTAAACTAAA